GATTGTGTCTGTAGTGTTGGAGGGAATATAAGTGTCTAAATTTTACAGTGTGTCTCATACGTCCCAGTCACAGACGCTATCCTTCCACGGGTCACAGACAATTCATTTTGTTAGTAAATTTAAGTGTTCTTGTGCTGGTTCGGGATTTTTCTCAAAGGGGCGCTTCCACTGCAATTTCCATCTAATAATCTTTAATAAACCCCAAGTCAAGTGAGAAATTAAAGTCCAGTAAATTTCAGACCGGTTACATATATATATATATACTAATCTTGAAAAAAGCACCGCAGCGGTCGGTAGTCAGGTCAGAGGGTAAGCTGACCCAACCTTCTCACCTGGTTACAAATCTTCTTAATTACGAAATTATCCAATTTGTACATACCATTACTCAAATTCATGTTGACGGATTCGGTATGTTTAATGAGAATAGATTCTATAATGTTCCTACTGTCAATTTTACTTCTCCTTAGTCTGTACTCACCCCTGAAGATGTGAATTACATGAAAGCGCTTGGGAACTTCGTGTTTTCTTTTTCCTTGTGGTTATCAGCATATACCTGGATCACGCACACCTACAGTGATTTATTTGCATATATATATATATACATACAGTAGTACCCCGATTTACGCGGTCAATTGAACCCACAGGGTACCGCGGAAAGTGAAAACCGCGTAAAGTGAACAACAGAACATATGGGATTAATTCCAATAGAGACTGGCCCGACCCCCAAACTCCACTTTTTCCGACACAATACCTATGTTGTAGTAAAAATAACATCTAAATTTTATGATGGTATGCTCACACAATTAATATTTAAGAGAAATACAGTCACCAGGTTCATGTCCATTCAAATAATGGACTCAAATCCCCCCTTCCCCTCTTCCAAGCTCACTGGCTCCTACCTCTGAGAAATGTTAATGTTTAGTTATAAATAATACCTCAGACTAAAGTTAGGATAATATAATTGACATTTCTGGATTCCTTGCAGGTCAGGGAATATTTGAATGTAAACTTCATATATTTTGCACAAAAGATAAAATATTTGCTTTGTGTAAACCAAATTATTACATTAGATCTAAAATTTGTATATCTAATGCAAAATCCATGATGTTTATATTCAAAATGATCATCATATTGTAAAAATTCCAGGAATGTAAATTATATTCTGGCTGAGTAATTTGTATGAATTTTATGAGCTAAAACAAATATCTTCAGTTAATAAAAAAAAAAAAATGTTCTTCATGACACTACCTGTCAATCAAAGTACCCCACCTTGCCTCCCCCCCTTCCTCACACTCACGCCAGCTGGGTCGGTCGGTCCCAACCCTCCCCCCCACCCCCCACCTTCCCTCCCTACCAGAGAAATGTTGGGAGAAAATTCTAGATTTTAACTTTTAGTAATAAATAATACCTCAGACTAAAGTTAGGATAATGTAATTGACATTTCTGGATTCCTTGCAGGTCAGGGAATATTTTGAATGTAAACTTCATATATTCTGCACAAAGGATAAATATTTGCTTTGTGTAAACCAAATTATTACAGTAGATCTAAAATTTGTATGTCTAATGCAAAATCCATGATGTTTATATTCAAAATGATCATCATATTGTAAGAATTCCAGCAATGTAAATTATATTCTGGCCGGGTAATTTGTATGAATTTTATGAGCTAAATAAAAAAAATAAATAAAAAATTATACTTCACCGTGTATATGAGTAGATGCACCGCGGAAAGTGAAAGTCCGGTTCTGGCAAAGTACCGCGTAAATGAGAAATCGCGGAAAGTGAAACCGTGTAAAGCGGGGTAATACTGTATATATATATATGCAGTCATGCTCCGGTTAACGTCCTAGATACGTTCTTGGAAACGTGACGTTAACCGAAATGGACGTTGTCTGATCATCACATAAACTTTTTATTTATACTTATGTGTATGTGGAATACTATATACGTACATATACACTTTTACTCTTAAATCACTACTGTAATGTGATACAGGTGATTAATTTTTATCTCTTGTGCAAAATACATGACGTTTATATTAAAATTATTCACTGTTTTACAAGGATTCCAGCAACGCCAGCAGATGGGGGAGAGAGAAGGTGCGAGGGGGCGTGGGGGGAGGGGAGGTAGTACGTTTGACAGTTGGCACAGGCCCAGGTCTAACGCGTGTATATTTATCAGTTCTTAGGTGACTAAGCTTCTCTCTTATAAAAAGCCAGTGAAATGACCTGGGTGAATATAATTAACATAGCTGGGATTCTTGTAACATACTGATTAATTTGAATATAAACATGCTATAATTTGCACTAGACAAAACAATTTTAGTACCGTAATCAAATTAGTACATGTGCACTCCAGCTTTGCACTAAGAAATCTATGTAAATCTACCCAAAAATACAGTTGAAAAACTTTTTTATAAAATGTACTACAGTACTGTACACTAATGTACAACAATTTTTATCTCTTGAGCAAAATATATGACGTTTATATTCAAATTATTGGCTGTCTTGCAAGGATTCCAGCAATGCAAATTATAATCTCCTAACTTTAGTCTGAGATATTATATAAGATAAAAACTGTAAGCCTAAAAGCCTGGCTGGGGGGAGGGACTGATGGCTCCGCCACCCAGCGAGGGGTTGGGGGGGTTGAGGTGATAAGTTTGAGGCGAAGGTCTCTGTGTGTTTATTTAACAGTCCTACTAAGCTTCTCTCATTTTAAAATGCCAGTGATATGACCTAGGAGAATATAATTAACATAGCTGGGATTCTTGTAAGATACTGATTTATTTGAATATAAACATGTTGTAATTTGCACTAGACATAACAATTTTAGTACTGTAATCAAATTAGTACATGTGCAGTCCAGCTTTGCACTAATTTATTTTACATTTATTTTAGTATGGTGTGTGCATGTAAATGGGTGAAAATAAATGAAGAAATTTATGTAAATCTACCCAAAAATACAGTTGAAAAACTTTTTATAAAATGTACTACAGTACAGTGACCCCTCGGTTAACGAACTCAATCCGTTCCAGCAGGTTGCTCGTTAACCGAAAAACTCGTTAACCGAAACCATTGTTTCAATGGGTTTTTGGGTAATTGGTTCCAGCTCACCGAAAATTGCCTAAATTCAACAAAAAAGGTAGAAAAGTACACTTACTTTGAGGTGTGTATGTAGAAGGCTCCTGGATGATGATGATGATGATGATGGGAATTAGAATGGGGGTGGAGGAGAAGGAAGAAGAGAAGGCATTGGGGTGGAAGAGAAGTCACCCCATGGCACCATTTCACCCATAAAATTTTAGTTCTCTTGGTGTATTTCAAGATTATTTTCTTTAGATCAACACTGCACTGCATTATATATTGTCAATATGTAAAATATATTTGAAAATGACCAGTAATTTGCTTGGAAACACAGAAAAAAAGCATTTAGTTGAGGAGAGTCTCAAGCAAGATGTTACCTCCACTGAAAACAGAGACTAACACCTGTCTGGTGTGTTAACAGGCTAGGTGGCACGCCAGAAACTAGTTTCTTTACCTTCAATTATGTTCAATAATTGTTAAAATGACTAAAAAAGTTAATATTAAACTTTTAAAATTATTGAATAGTATAAACTTCTTGATATTTACTAAAATAGTAAGGAATTTAAGCCCTAGAACCGATTACTGTATTGGCGGACTAATACTACAGCTGGTGGACCGCCAAATGCAAGCGAAAACATGTTGAAGTCGGCTCGTAAAAAACTCGTTAATCGAGGGATTGCTCGTTAACCGAAGTTAAGAATCTTATGGAAGGTAAATCGTTAACCGAAATCCCGTTAACCGAGGCGCTCGTTAACCGAGGGACCACTGTATTATACTACAATATGATTAGTTTCAAATAATGATGTTAGTAAATGCCGGTACAGTGCATCAGTGATCAGTGAGCCGTGAGTGGAGAGCAAGGCGTGGTTAAGTGCCCTGGGCCTCGCGCCCCACTAGGGACGGCTCTGCCTGTATACACTGACGGCTTTAAGTCGGATGCAGGGTTGGGTTTTGGGATAGTGTTTCCTGATTTCAGTTGAAACGATAATCTCCCCACTATGGTTTCTATTTTTACTGCAGAGCCTTGGGTATTTTACTTGATTTTTGTATAGTGTTGGATATATATATTTTCTGTCCCTTCACTATCCCTGCGATGGATTGTAGGGAGAAGAGAGGCTGAATGTATTCTCTTTGGTAGGTCATGCTGGGCTTAGATTTAGGCCTAAAAGATCCTGATTAGACAGCCATAGTTTCAAGAATCCGTTATTGATTAATCTCATAGAATGATTTGCAGATAAACATGTGTAATGCCCTGTCTATTATTTTATCTTTAGTTAACTAATATTTAGAATTTTCTGTCGATTCATTTTAATATTTGAGACTATTAATAATTTTGTTACTTTTTACTTTTAGTATTTGACTACTTCATGAATGAGATACTTTTTGCTTCTTCTTGAGTACATTGAACTTTGGATACTTTTATTTCTACTTGAGTAACATTTTGCCAATGTAACAATACTTTTACTTAAGTAACAATGTCCGGTACTTCTTTCAACTGCTCGTGTGTGTGCGCTCATTTAAAATACTTAGTTCTATCGCTGGCTACCGTTGGCTAGCCACTGTGGTGTGGTGGTGAAAGTGGATTTAGTTGCTATTTTTTTGTGGCTTCCATAAAATAGTGGCCCACTGGCCCATGTGCAGCCTTCCTATAGATACATGTAGGTTTCATTTGTGGCCACAAAGTTGCTCAAAAGTAGCTCCTGTCCTTCAAGCAGCTAAATACATCAGTGCAATCCCTTTTTAGGGGTTGTCAGTAGATATTTTAATTCTGGTTTTCAAATTAATTTGGTAGTTTCCTACAATGTGTATCTATGGGACGGTTCTTGTGGTCAAATACGCTAAATGGTTGTCACAAAACTCATCTTGCTTAAAGTATTGCATCATTTTAAATCTGCTACATAAAAAAGTTATCTGCAGGATATGTAAGTGAGGAAGAAAAAGAGAACATCAATATTCTTGAAGAGGAGAAAGCACTGGAGGTTCCATCCAAGAGGAGACGACTGCAAAGCTCTACACTGCAGGTATCTTAATTTGAAGGACTGGGATTTCTTATGGTTTGAATTTTATGAGATCACTTTTATTCTTTCTTGCAAGACCTTTCTTCCTATGCTGCATGTGACCATAACCAAAAGCAACACAGATTCTATCATCATTTGCTTTCATCCATTCACTCTAACTTCTGTAATATCCCTGTAAACCATTCACTGTTAAACTGTCCTGTCCTTCACTCACTGCTGCTTCTTGTATAACCATCCACCTCATACCTCTTATATGTTCTTCACATCATCCTTCCTTCTTCCTGGTATTGCCTTTTTCACCTTACTATCTCCCTTTTCACCTTACTTTCTCCCTTTTCAACCTTTTTCATTACAGTATATACTTTTGCCAATCTTTCACCTCCCACTATCTCGATGTGTCCACATAATCTTAGCAAACACCTGAAAACTTCTTTTACTCCACATCTTTGTCTATTTTTTTTCTCTGCATCCTGTTTACCTTTCACATATTACTCTCAAGCATTTCATATTTTACTCCAAATGTGCTTCTTCTTGCATGTAAATTTCATTTTCTACACCTATATAGTAATGTTGACTCACCCTCTACTTTATTGAACATAAATATCTTTCTCCATACATTTTTCAACATACTATTTATTTTTCCTCTCTTCAACTTAATGACTCAATTCTTTAGTCACTTTCATATTCTCTGAAATATCTATTCCATGGAATCTAAAAGAAGGGAACAAGTTCTATGAGTATGGAGGGTTCTCTATGACTCTTTTTTGCTTAATGTTTGGTTTGACAGGAATTCTTCCTTTACTTTGGGATGACTTTTAGCATGCTTGGATTACAGGGCACATGTACGGTGGTGCAGCAGTGTAAGCTCACAGCTCTTACCTTTGGGCAGATGGTTCATTAGTGCTTCCTTCTCTTTGTAAGGGCTATGGTTAAACCTGTACAAATCCTATTTTCAGTTTTACTTATTTCTGGAGTACAGTCCAGTTGTATAAGTGCAATATGGAGGGTAGTGCCTTATCAGACATATCCTGCAACTGTTGCAATACAGTATGTTTGTAACCTGCACAATTAAAATTTTTAATTTTTGGTATTTGCTGAGTTTATTTGTGGAGGCTTTAGGCAACTGCCCTGAGGTGGTGCAGGCCTCTCACCCATTGGTAATGGATGGACCATGGACAAGTCAAGACATACTGCAACTATTTGCATGTGGCACCCAACACACTGAAGGTATTATACAGTGCAGTAATACCCCAGTTAGTGCTACCCCATAAAGCGCTGTTTTTTATAGCACTCTTGACTGCATCTTGGAGCTCTTGGGAAAAACATAAACTAAAACATGAATGTAGTCAAATGTCAATAGTCTGAACACTCACAACACACAAAGAGCAGCTCTCTTTATTTCCTCCTCCTCCTGTGTCATCGTCGTCGTCATCATCATCATCATTATTACATTATTATTATTATTATTATTATTATTATTATTATTATTATTATTATTATTATTATTATTATTATTATTATTATTATTTCAATAATGCAGAGATGGAATACCTTTATCCAGAGCAGAGCTGTATGCTATCCACTGCCTTCCTACTCCCTCCCCACCCACCCACCCACTGTGTCTCTCACTCAGTCTACTATAGTCGCTACTACTATTCATCAAACGACTGTCATTCATGATACTGTACAATATTATTTATTTTTTATTCATCAATGAGGAATTGCATGTTGCTGTAATAATCTGTGATGATTAGTACCTGTACTCTTCATATACAATACAGTACTGTACTGTATATGTAAGTCTTCGCTCCACGGATCTTGCAGGGAATTCCTGAGTTTTATGAACTTTCTGGTTAACACACTTTTATTGGAGGTCTTAACTTAGTCTTACATCTTAGTGTGGCACAGATTGTTACAATATTGTACTGAATTATCTAGTTAACTTTGCTAAAATTTAGCTTTTCTAAAATGGATATTTACGGGGATATTTTGTAAACACGTCAAAACTCTATTGTTCTCTTTAAAACCATCAGAGATCAGATTACTTCCACACCACTTATCTCACCACATTTTTCAATCCATCTTTATACTCTAACTAACTCATAATTAGCTTCTGGTTACCACTTAAATGTTCTTGATATTTTATATTTTATTTTCCTCATGCATGTTTATTATACGTATACTGTATCGTTCTTTTCTCTGAATGTATTTTGTTTTCTCTTTTTTATTTAGGAGTGATGTAACCCTTTGTCTTATTAAATATTACTGTACATTGATACTGTACCTTGTATAATTATAATATTTATCTTTCAGTGTCGCCATTGCCATGAAACATTTACCAGTAAGATCAGCTTTCGTATTCACCAACGCAAACACACGGAGGAGGCTCGAAAGAGAGGCACCATGGACGGAGAAGAGCCGCTACGACCAATCCTTCAGGAAAAGAAACCTCAGCCCCGAAAACTCTTGGCACGCAAACGAAGAAGACCTTTTGGGAGAGGTGACACAATCTTTATTTCTGTTTGATTTCTGGCATTAGAGAGATAGAATTGTAGAATGAATAGTGATAAAGAAAAGGGGATACATTGAGTTAGAATTGATCAATGAATACACACCTTGTTGTACATTGACTGAGTAATTTCTGTTGATCTTGAAGTGTTTCTATATGAAAAAAAATCTTTTGGGAAGCATGGCTTCTGAGAATAACACAAAATTGTGTAAGGACATTGGCTCATGAGTGTTATATTACAAGTGACCAACTATGACTGAGTGTGGCCTGGGATGAGTGAAATTAAAATATTTTTAATTTAAAATTTGATTTGGTTTATTACACACCTACTGTATTAGTTATTGTTGTTTACATTATTTGTTTATTTATTAAACTTAATCATCATGGTGAGGTAGATGTGTAATGTGACAGGAAGACAGGAGGCCCTGTTCAGAGCTATGAGGGCGGTTGGGTATTGAGAGTATTGGCGAAGTGATGCATAGAGACAGGCTGAGATGGTTTGGGCATGTGGAGAGAATGGATGGGACCAATTTGGTGAAGAGGCATATGAGTCTAAATGTGGAGGGAAGAAGAGCCAGGAGGTCAAGAATGATGTGGGTAGAGATAAGAAATAACATTAAAGTTAGGAACTTGACAGGAGAGACTGCAAGAGACCATGCAGCATGGAGAGTTGCCATCAGTTAACCGCTGCTAACCTGCACATTCGTGGAAAATGGCTGTAAAAAGACACTGATTCATCATGATTTATGTAAAATTTGTATGCAAAGAAATCCTTAGTGTTACAGGGCATTAGGCTAAGTGTATCTTAGGCTAATGTGCCATTAATTAGCAACCTTCTAGTTCAGGGGAATTTTTATTATTGGTCCCAAGTTTGACAGATAAAAAATAAATAATTTTATGGTGTTAATAAATATTTCTTCTCACAGGCCCTGAACGACTCCTGACCCTTGCCTCATCTGACTGGTCAGACCAGCAAAAAGAATGTGTTCCAAATGATGAAAGTCGTCAACAGTTAACCCACAATACAGTTGTGGCAGTTAAAGCTCTTCTTAATGCCACAAAAGAGGAACGAAGCAAGCGGGGGAAGTACATAAAGTATACACCAGAGTTACGAGATGAGATTGCCCAGTACGCTCTTGCAAACGGCAATCATGAAGCCACAGTGTACTGGTCACATAGACTTGGTGGTACAGTTAGTGAAAGTACTATTAGAAACTTTATTAAGACATACAAAAGCTACACCCCAGAAGTTAAGGAAGAAATTGGAAAGTTTGCATTTCATTATGGCATAGACGGTGCCTCCAGACACTTCTCTGAAAAATTAGGCCATGAAGTAAGAAAAGGATTAATAAGAAAATTTAAAAAGAATTATTTAAAAAGATTTCCGGAAATGAGTGAAGTTGTAGGGGAACTACAAGCAGGGACAACTGGGAAACGGGGAGGGAATATACCTAACATATCTGGAAGGCAAAAGCGCTCCTTCTCACTTCAGATGAAAGATGAAATTGGACGATATGCTACTCAGTTTGGCATAACTCCAACAATCCAACACTATTCTGAAAAACTCCAATTTCCCCTTAAGGAATCTACTGTGCGCAAATTCAAGAAACAGTTTGTAGACCGAGGTAATGTTAGTGCTGCTGCTGGAAGTGGTGGTGGTGCAGGTGAGAATGCAGCTGTTGTGGGTGGTGGTGGCACTGTATTAACTGACCATCAAGCAACAGCTCCCCAAACTATTGATGTTCTTCACCCATCTCTCTCGGTACTGAATGCTCCAGCAGTCTCTGGTACTGTAAATGTCAGTACTGCTAACAATTTTGTATATCAACACCCATATCATTTGAACATGGCACCAGGACCGCAAGCAAACACTGTTCTTCCAATGAATCACAATTCTCTAGCTTTCCATCAAAGTGGGGTTATTAACCAAGGGATGGCTGCCTCCTTGTCTTACCAGCAACCTGGAGCACCTCCTGGATCCTCAGTTATTATGAACCAAAGTTTTACACATCAAGCCCCTACAGGGTTTCAGCAGGGTTATGTTGGTGGGTTTTCTCAGGGTGGCAGTGCTGGAGGATCAGTAACACATGGTGGACAAATAGCACCCCTTGCCATGACCCACACAAGTGTAGCGGCTACTAGCATGGCACATTCTCCTCTACCACTCACTATGAGTGGGGCACCAGCTACACACATTTCACAATTAAGTCATCACAGTGTAGGTCCCTCAGTAAGTCAAGCTCATCTCACCCAGGCCTCTACTGTGTCCCACACTGTTGCCAGTGGAGCACAGCATCCAGCTCACCATCAGTTAATTGCATCATTTCACCAACCTCTTGCTGGCTCACTTAGTTTTGAAGGTACTACATTACAAGCCCATACACAAGCTAACTTAAACAATGAACCTCTCAGTCTCATGAAAGAAACCCATGAGCAGCCCACTGGAGTTAGCCTTGTAGCCCAGGGGGATGATAGTCTTCATGCTCCTGGTACAGATGTTAATGTACCCCAAGCAGGTCTTAGTCACATGGGAGAACAACCTGGCCCATCTGATCAACAGGAAACTATACTTGGATTAGAAGATGAAGATGAATATAGTGACCCTCCCACACCAAGAAAAAAGAGACAAAAGCCCCGTACTAAAATAAGAAAAGGAAATACAGGCCTCAGTAAACGAGGTAATTATGCTTCCTACAGCCCAGAACTCCGTGCCGAAATTGGAAAGTATGCAGCAGAGCATGGTAATTTAGCTGCAGTTCAACATTTTAAAGAGCAACTGGGTTTTGAAATTCCTGAAAGCACTGTTCGAGGACTAAAGGATAAATATCTCATAAAGCGCGTTAGGGGCAAGAAGGAAGTAGTGTCTATTGGGTTTGCTCAAAGAGGAAGGCCCATGAGATTAGGAAAATATGATGAGATTGTTCAAGACTGCATACGAGAACTGGTCAAGGATGGAGAAAAGGTAGGAACATGCATTCTTTATGCTTGTCTTTTTTTGTGTGTATATGTATAGATTGGATCAGTTGTTTTGAGCTCAGATGTTTAGCAATAGTTGAATATTCTATGTTTAGCAGTAGAGAGGATTAGTGGATGGAGAAGTATGGTGACTGTCACCCTCAGTTGATAATTTCTTGGGTGTATGTGAGGGATATTTGATGGAAGAATATATGTTGATGTTATGTGCCTGGCAGAGGTTCAGTATCGGCCACCCATATATGCCTTTAGGGATACAGATATCGCTCAATTAGGATAAAAAATATTTACACCCTTTCTCACTTAACGTTATATCAATATTCAGTTTAGCGATAGTTTGACTCACTGGGAAGGTGAAAAAAACTGGGGATGAGGTGACCTGTGAGATGGCATGTTGCCATTGTTATGAAACTACAGGTACACCACCGATTTTCCGGGAACTGATGGTCCGGCACCCCCTTTGGTCCGGACAAAATTAGGAGAGGGCACTTAACTTCCATCCCTCTCTCCCAGCCAAGGTGAAGCTTAGTTTTCGGCTTAAAATTTTTATCTTATAAAATTTAGCTGAATAGACTTAGCAGAATATAAATTGTATTGCTGGAATCCTTGTAAGATAGTGATTAATTTGAGTATAAACATCACAAAGTTTGCACAAGAGATAAAAATTTTATAGTGTGGTGTAGTACATTAGAGTACAAAGTGTGTACAGTAATATTGTTAAAAATTATGGCTTTTTCACATTTAATTTGCATTTAATATTTGTTTAATTTAAGTTTCTACCAGTCCATGGTGCTTTAGAGACACAGGGGTGTATCATTAGTGGGTCAGAGGTGTATTGTTGATTTATTATTACCTGGCCTCGGTTGGTCCGACAAAACAGATAATCCGGCAAGGCTTTGGAACCAAGGGTGCCGGAAAATCGGTGGTGGATCTGTATGAAAGTTGTGGAAAATCATTACAATACAGTGATATCCCCATTAGCTGGAACATTTACTGCAGAGCACTTCTGGGGATGAGATATTTCCAGGTAACCATATGACTCTTTCAAACCCGGTATAACTCCTTATCCCCGGAATTTTTTCCCGTTACTGGGAAAAGTTTCCAAGAGTCAAAACTACCCACCTTGCAGACAGACACTAGCCCACATCCCCAGAATGTTTCTGGGTGCTGGGGAAAGTTTTCCAGGAGTTTAAACTGTGCATCTCATCTCGACTCTAAACTGTGCATCTTATCTCGACTCTAAACCGTGCATCTCATCTCGACTCTAAACTGTGCATCTCATCTAGCACGGATAAAACACTCTCCCATTACATCTAAACTGCAGGCAAGATTGAAAATATTTACGGCTAGCAAAAAACATTATAAAGTTTTATTCACAGCATCTGTTCTTGTTGTGTTAGAGATAACGTTATTTTTTACCTAAGAGATATATACAGTACAGTATTGTATATGAAGGGTACAGATACAGTATTAATAAGCACAGATTATTACAGTAATATATCTTTACTAATTAATGAATAACAAATAAATAATGTTCTGTACAATATTGTATCATGAATGACATTCATAGTAGACTGATTGAGAGAGGAAGTGAGATGCAGTGGGTGGATGAGAGCTGACATTTTTTTTGGGGGGTGGGGGGATAAAGTGACCACGTGGTCAGCTTTTCCCCCAAAGGGTCGCCTGTTACACAGAGAGGGAAAGATCATTCAAGTGCTTGTTTGTAAACATACACTACATTATGTGTGACAAAGTGAATATTCATGTATGACTTGATCATATGACAAAACTTTCATTCACTTAGTAGGACTACTTACACATATATCATGGAACAATATACAAGCAGATGAAATCAACACAAAATACGAACACAACTATATGACCTGGCCATACCTTTTACACTGAGAGGGACAGTGCTCAAGTGCTGTCTCACATAGTAGTTCTAATTAAGTTAGACACACCATTTTTTATTCAAATAATCCTGAGTAGTTTATCTAAAAGCTTACCGTATATCTCGGCCTATAAGGCGTCGGGGTGCATAAGACGGCCCCCCCAAATTTCCATTTAAAAAGTAGCTTTTGAGCTCTATTCGCTGTATAAGACCAGTACCCCAAATGTGACACTTACCCACTGACTCAGTAGTCCTTTACCAACCATCCTTGGTTTTTTAAAATAAGGCCAATTCACTTCAAGTAATGTCATCAAATGTTACCCGCTGGTGTAGTGTAAACACTCGTGACGTCACTGAAGCGTCTGCTATTTACCGGTAACTGGAACTAATGTCTGTGTCGAGTAAAATTTTTCTATTTACTTGAAATATATATATATATATATATATATATATATATATATATATATATATATATATATATATATATATATATATATATATATATATATATATATATATATATATATATATATATATATATATATATATATATATATATATATATATATATATATATATATATATATATATATATATATATATATTATACACAATACATACATACATACACACACATATATATATATATATATATATATATATATATATATATATATATATATATATATATATATATATATATATATATATACAGTTGTACCCCACTTAACGCGGTCAATTGAACCCAGAGGGTCCAGCGTTAAGTGAAAACCGCGTTAAGTGAATAACAGAACATATGGGATTAATTCCAATAGAACCCAGCCCGACCCCCAAACTCCACTTTTTGACGACAAATAACTATGTTGTAGTAAAAATTCTATCTTAACTTTATGGTGGCATGAAAAACAAGTAATATAGAAGAGGTTAGGTTAGGAAAGATAAAGGTTAACATAGGAAAAATGAAGGTTACCTTAGAGAAACTAAAAGTTAGGTGGAACACTTACGGTAGTAGAAGAGATGGGTCGGCATACGGGGATGGAGGCTGGTTCCGAGGCAGAGGGCAGATTACTGGCCCTCAGGTGAATCACCATTACTAGGTGAATCAACATCACTGTCACTTACAGTTGTCAGGGCTTCCCTGACAAATCCCTCAAAGTCAACTTCACTTTCACTATCACTGGCTTGGGCTGGCTGTGGTGGGTTGCGGGCGAAGAACTCGGTTATGCTTTGCTGACGGCTGGCTTTGATGTTGTCATGATACACCGTGATGTACGGCTCCATAGCCTGCACCAGTCGGGTATGGAAGACTTCATAGCGTTCATCGTCATTGTCGCGGGAAAGGACGGACTTAATATTTTCTGCATACTCTATGGCACACTTAATATCACTATGACTTAAACTAGGTTCTTCGGAGAATGACTCACCTTCTTCCTCCTCTTCACTGGCGTGTTCTTCTTCCAACATCTCGTCGGCAGTCACTTCATGATCTTTGATCACCTCCAGGATGTCTTCGTTGGTGGTCTCGGAGAAGCCTTCAGCTGTAATATTGAGCGCAGCTTCTCTGGCAAGGTCCACTGCTACTGCAACAGTCTGAACCTCACCAGTCACAGGTTCACTCCTCCTCTCACCTGGTATGCCATGCAACACATGTCTCCATGCGTGACGAATCGTAGCAATAGTCAGCAGATCCCATGCCTCCACCAAGAAGTCTACAGCTTGTTTAACGTTAAACTTCTTCCAAAATTGTTTGACGAGAAGTTCTTGAGTCACCGCCTCTTGTTCCTTGTCCTCGTCGCTTTTGCTCTCGCTGTCGGTGTCACCCAGCTTCCGCAACTCATCCTTGGTGTTGGTAGAGTCGTTCAGGAGCTTGAACTTCTTTGCAGAGTACGCAGCTTTCACATTGCAGATCAACTCCTGGTCCATGGGCTGGATTAATGACGTAGTGTTGGGAGGAAGGAAGACCACTTTTACGTTGGGGTGACGATCCATAAGTAGGGGCGAGTGTCCAGGTGCGTTGTCAAGGAGCAACAAAATATTGAATGGAACATTCTGTTGCTCGCAGAATTTCTTCACATCGGGAACAAAACAGTTGTCAAACCAGAAGAGGGACAGAGAAGAGGACATCCACGCCTTACGTGCGGTTAGCCAGTGGACATTAAGCTTGTTCATGTCCATATTCTTGTAGGCGTGCGGCTTGCGGGCTGTGTGAATCACCGATAACTTTGGTTTACAGGTACCGGAGGCATTGGTGGTAAACAGGACGGTGATGCGTTCCTTCTGCAACTTCCGACCCCTTACCTTGCTGGCAGACTGGACAACGAAGGTCTTGGAAGGTAACTTTTTCCAGAAAAGACCAGATTCGTCCATGTTAAACACCTAGTCGTCACTGTACTGTCCTTCCTCCATAATCTCACGTAAAAACGGAGGAAAATCTCTAGCCGCCACACGGTCAGCACTCGCTTCCTCACCACCAATGTTGATGTTGGTGATCTTGTTCCTCTTCTTAAACCTATGCAGCCTATGGCGGTTTCGCTTACTTAGCGTTTTTATCGCCTCTGGCGGTGCCTCGCCAGAAATAGAACTTTCACTTAACACAGGATTTTTTCCACGCCTCTCTGCGGTGAGTGTCGGCTCGAGGCAGCTATTTTAGATTTGCTTACCGCCACCCTGCCCTGACTGCCTGTTTTAGCTCTATAAAATTCGCCTACGTACCAGTCCAGAATATAATTTACATTGCTGGAATTCTTATAATTTGGTGATCATTTTTTGAATATAAACATCATATATTTTGCATTAAACATACAATTTTTAGATAAGAAGAATTTTTCTCTCTAGGTAACTTATTTATCTTTTGTGCAAAATATATGACATTATATCAAAATATATTCCCTAATTCTTACAAGGAATCCAGCAATGTCAATTATATTATCCTAACTTTAGTTTGAGGTATTATTTATTAAAAAAAAGTTAAGTATTCTGGTTTTCCCACACATCTCCTTGGGACGGTTGGTGAGGGGTGGGGGGGAGGGAGGGACCGACCGACCATCTGTTACCCTGTGAAGAATATATTTTTTTTTTATTAACTGAAGACATTTGTT